CACAATAAACATTATATATTATAATTTGTACCATTATAATTATATTTTATTTTTATTATTATCTTTATTTTGGAATATATATATATATATATATATATATATATATATCATAATATTATTATTTATTATTATTATCATTATTAATATAATTTATTTATTATTTTTACTATTATTATTATTATATACTAAAAAGTTATATATTCCACATCAACCCATGATAATCATATTAATATATTTTCGTTTTTCTTTCATCTCATCTTTTAATCCATTTACCGTTGTTAAACTTTAATACCAAATGAGCCTTTAAGGTGATTTTGTTCTCATATACAATCGTTCTTAAGGAAAGATGAGTGATTGATTTTGTTTAATTGATGATGGTTACGACTAATTTATAAACCTTTCATTCTATGCATCTCCTTGACTTTATGCAGTATTTCATGATATTTAAGTTGAAGTGGGATATGCTAAAGTAAAGTGTAATAATAATATTACGTCGTTAATTAATTAATAACACGAAATTATTAATTCTAATAACAGATTTTTTTTAAATATTATATTTGTGGTTTTTACCTCTTTTTATTCATGGGTCTCATCAATCATCATCTCTTACCAACTCCAAAATCAACGGGTTTTCACGAAATCTTATTTACATAACATAATTACCTCTTTTTTCATTTTCAACCAATAATTTTAAAATCATGTTAAACTCATTTAATAAAGTAATATTTTTATAATATAATAAATATATAATAAGTTTATTAAAAATAATATTTTTTTAAAATTTATTATAATAATTATAAATATATACACTATATTAAAAATAAAAGATAAATAATTATTAAAATAAGATACAAATTTAATATAAAATAATTATTATGAAATAAAAAGTTCAAATATATTATATTTTTTATAAATAATTTTTTATATTTTTTTATAATGTATTTTTTTTGTAAAGAGATAAGAAAAAAAATATTCTGATAAACTCAATAGTTTTATATAGTCATAATTTTATATATATATATATATATATATATATATATATATATATATATATATATTTATTTGTTGAAACAGATAAATTATGATAAAATCAAGTTCTACTTCTAATTTAAAAAAGTATAATGACCCAATTGATATTTAATAGATGTGATTCCTATAACATTGCCTTGTTAGGTAAAGAGATAAGATCACTATAATTCTTTTATTTTTACTAGAGATTTGTTTTTAGTATATTAATTTTTTTATTATTATTTAAAAGTCAGTGTGAATAATAATTCTTATGTAATATAATATATTAACTTTATTGAAATAATTTTAAAAAAAGAATTGAATAAAATCGAATGTCAACTTTAAAATGAGAAATACCTCGAATACAATAAATTTAATATGTTTAAAAGATTTGTGATGGGTGAAATAGTAGGACTCTAGGTACTCCTTCTTATAATTTATATAATATATATTTTTTAATTTATTAAACATTTTTTCAAAATTATTTTGCGTTTGATTAAGATCAAATTTAAATATATTAAATAAAATGACCCTAACAAAAATGTAAATATAATTACTACAATTTTTTAAAAATATTTTAAAATTTAATAAAATTAAAAATAAAAATTTATTAATATTTTTTTCTCTTTTCTATATAATAAGTCCTTTCAATATTTATATTAAAAAATGTTTTTCTTTTCTCTTCTATTCTAATATTCTATTGACTCCCATCTGACTTTAATCAAACACATACTTAATCTAATCAATAAAAATAATAAATATTTTTTTAATATAAAAATATTCAATACATTCAATTTTTTGAAAGTTTTACTAGATCTACCTCACATGATTTAAGTGTTATATTTAGCCTATTACAAATTAATTTTATGTTGAATTCTTAATATAATATCAAAGTTATTATCTTGAAAATTTTCATATTATATGTTATATAATATGATTTAAAATATATGATATGATATTTTACATATATTTTTAGGTTGGATGTTAATAAAAATTAATCATAATTTTTTAATTATCAATTTATCGACTTACAAGTATAACGTCGATATCTAGAGTACGATAATTTGTTAAAAAAATCTATAGTAAAAACTAAAATTGGAGCCATGCACATTAATATTTGAAAAAACTAAACAAGAAAAAATTTCAAACATTTCATGAAACTGAACAAGAAAATTTATAATATTTTTATAAATATCAATAATCTATAATTATATATAAAGAGATTTTTTTAAAATTTAATATTTCATATTATACTTGTATTTTTATAAATATCTATAATCTAGAATTATATATAATTTTTTTAATTTTTTTTAAATAAAAATTATATTTCAAAAGAAAAATATTTATTATGATTTATATATATAAAAAATAGTAAAAATATAAAAAAATGGACAAAAAATAGATATAGTTAAAAAGTAAAAAAATAGAATAAAATTTTAAAAGAAATGCGCTTCACTGCCTGTATTTCTATTAATTATATATAGAATAATTTTTTATACAAAATTTTTATCATTTGAAAAGAGAAAAATAAAATTATCATAAAATTATAAAAAGAAGTGTACACGGTTTTATAAAAATATCTAAATCAAATTTTTATTTTATTTTTTTGGATTTTGGTGTTTTTATGAAAAAAAAACAATAAAATTGAGAATGTTTGTTGAGGAATGTGATTTAAGAAAGTTGAAGGTAGTTGTGGTGCATTAGAAGCCTTGAGTGACAGATAGTCACATTTGCATATATATGCTTCATAGTCATGCATGTATGATTACAACCATCATGCACTCACTGTTCCTCCAATTCCAACAAATGGAGGTGGTCTCAACTCATCAAAGTGGACCCCAAACACACCATCAACACTTTCACTCCTATCATCTCTTCATCACTACTTTTTGGATTCTTCACATTCATCATTCATTCATTTTCCCACATCTTCCTTTTTATCCTGCTATAATTGTGCCCAGTAACACACCAAGTGTATTTTAAAGAATCAAATGTAACTGAAAATGTTCAATTCAACAATTAATAATCAAAATTATGAGTAAGTAAAAGGAGAAACATGAATTTTAAATTTGACTTAGTTTCATACTACCTAAAAGATCCAAACTTGGAATCATACTATAATAAGATTTCAATAAATATTACAAGACTTTATTTCTAGCGGTTAAAAAATATATTTAAGAAAAAAATCTATTATGTTTTTAATTTGATTTTTATCATTTAATTTAAAAATTTATGTGATTTTAGTTATTTCTATATTTAAATTTAATTGTCAGTAATTTTTTTCCAAAAAATATAAAATATTGATATTAATTTTTTTATACTTGAATTTAATATTTAGTGACTATTTTTTTGTTATTTTTATAAAAAATAATTTTACATTTTTAATTTAAAAACTAATTAATCAATATTTAAAATAAAAAGATAAAAATAAAAACAAAAATATATTTAATCTTATTTTTAATTTTTATGGTATATTTATTTCGACAGTTTTTTCTTTCAGTAAAAATGTCAATTTTAATGTCCTAAATATTCATCTAATATAATATCTCTATCACGTGTCAATGGCTTAGTTTGATAGAGACATTTTAAGGAAAGGTTAAAATTTTTCAACCTGAACAAGTAAATAAAATGTGAGAACAAAAGTGTATTTTTAACCTATTTTAATAATTGAATTTTTATTAATAAATATAACAAAATACACCTTATTTAAAACTATTCAAACTCAACAACAAAGACATTGCAAGTATGATGGATTGTCCAAATCAACCACCATGTGTTCAAATCCTTATCCTACTAAGCTTTCCTGCACTCTAATGCACCATACAATCTCCTCATTTTTAACCTTTTTATTTTTATTTTTATCAGTGTGTCTCAGTCATCTCCTTCTGCACTTTCCTCCTTTAACAGCAACCAACCAAGGGACTCTCATACAAGACACCTGTTCTTGGAAGCATCCCCACAATGCCACAGCAAGCATCCCACAGTTCCAACACAAAATCCAAAAATAAAATTGCCCCTTTCCCTCCCCCTCTGTGTGTCTATCTGTCACAATTTTTTTTATAAAAAGTAAAAAACAAGATTGGTAATCCTAGAAAACCCCACAAGCAACATGCATGTCTTTATTTGGTTGATTAAAATTTTGCATGTGTATATGTAGAGCTAAACTACAAGCAAATTTGAACAGTACAGTAACAAGTTAAAGTTTATAACTTCAAAAAAAATCTAAGAGAAGAAGCTTGTGCTCAAAGCACCATTCTTTTCTTTCCCTACATGTCACCTTCGATGGTATTATTATTATTTTTTTTTTCTTACATACAAAAGCAAAGAAGCAAAGCATCTTCTCTTCTCGTACACATCCACATTGTCTTGCTTTCCCTTGCAAGTTTCAACCTTTTCCTTGCTTAAGAGTTTTGCTCCCTCCTTTTTACCCGCTTTATAAGTCCATTGATACACTATTGAGACTGTCGGTGTATCTTCTTTTTCAAAAAAATTCACTTAAGTTTGGAATCTCTACGTAATCCAAGCGATTAATGTGGTCAAAATGCTTCAAGAGTTCCAACTTTTTGGTTCTTAATGGCCCAAAAATTTCTGCACCTGTCCATCTTTTGAGATGCATGTGAAACCCATGAGTACATTCCCATTGAGGTTCTCTTGTGTTCGTTTTGGTTGCATGAAATGGCTCTCTTTTATTCTGGTAGTTCATTTGTTCATGAGTTATAGTTCAGAGCCCTACGTGGGCTTTGATTCTATTAGACACTTTTCGAAGTTTCTACCTTTCCTTTCTGGGTGTTTTTGTTTCTGAGAGATCAATAATAGGAACCACTTAAATTTGTTTTGTTCAATTTGTTCATTCATTCTTCAACAGTGGTTTTTTTTCCCAACATTTCTCTTTTCCATCTTGGAATAATCTAGGAAGTGGAAACAAGACCACCCCAACTTAAGATTGTTCGTGTGAGAAACCTTCAAAAAGAAGAAGGTAAAGTAAGTCCATCATGGGTTTTTTAACAGGCTCTCACAAGGACTCATGGCAGCCCATTATGACTGCAAAGACAAACACACACAGCTACTGGCTTAATTGGAGAGTTTTTATTTGTTCCATATGGATTCTGGTTTCAGTAATCTTGTCATCGTTGCTTGTATGGAAGTATGAGCGTTTGAGAAAGCCAGCAAGCAATGGAAGGAGGGAAACACAAGAAGAAACATCAGCAACTTTATATGAGGATGAAACTTGGAGGCCTTGCCTAAAGGGAATTCACCCTGCATGGCTCATGGCTTTCAGAGTTGTGGCATTTATTACGCTTTTGGTGCTTCTCATAATCAATTCAATTGTTGATGGAGGAAACATTTTCTACTATTACACTCAGTATGTTTTCTTCCCTAATTGAATTTATCCCCTTCAAATCTGGCTGTTATTGGAAGTGGCATTTGAGTAGAAGCATGGTCCTAGGATGTTTACTGTTGGAGGGAACATAAACACAAAACATGACGTGTACTATGTTCTAAATAGAGTTAATCTCAACCTACAATCAAGCTTTAATTTTGCTAAAGGGGTTGTTTGTAGCATTGTTATTATTCTTTCTCTGCTGTTGGAATTAGGTCTTTATTTATGATGCCAATGTAAGAAAGTACCATTTATAGATGAAAACCACTATAAGTATTGAGAAGGCATATTCGGATATTCTTTTTGACGTTTGATTTGAGTTAATTTTGTTAATGGTTTGTGAAACAGGTGGACTTTCACTTCAATCACTATATATTTTGGGGTAAGTATAAGTGCCCAATATCTTATACTCTTGTCTATAATTTAGAATGCAATACCTTACATATACTTGTTCTTGTGTGTTTGATGTTGCAGCTTGGATCTTTGCTCTCCATATATGGATGCTACCAACATCATAAGAAAGCAACAGGAGATAAGGTTGATAACGTGGATGGAGATGCAGAGCAAGGAATATATGATTCTTCTGCACTCCCACAAAGCTCTAATAATCCATCTGACCAAGAGAAAGGCATGGGAGACCCAGAAGAGGTTATTGTTCGCCAACATGCAGGCTTTTGGGGTTATATTTTTCAAATAATATTCCAGGTATACTTCTCAAATTTCATTTATAACTGATGAACTGCAAGCCAAGTTATTATTGTGATGAGTTCAACATTCTGCGTTTCCTGCATAGAGTTACACTTTGTTGCATGTCTCTTCTTTCAGTTTTTGGTTTATAAAAGTGGAGGGAAACATAGCTTTTCCATTTACCACAATTGATTTTTGTCTCTTCACTTGTGACCAGATTAATGCTGGCGCTGTCATGCTCACTGATTGCGTATTTTGGTTCATAATTGTTCCATTTTTAACCATCAAAGATTACAACCTAAATTTTGTAAGCATCATTTATGACCCCATTGACTAACAATTTTTCTCTTAAAATTTCTATCACATAATTAAGCAAGATAGCACTTAACCACATGTTATATTCTCCTGTGGCAGTTGATAGTCATTATGCACTCAATCAATGCTGTTTTCCTTATAGGTGATACAGCTTTAAATTGTCTGGTGAGTTCCTGAATTTGATTCCATTTCTTAGTCCACTTCCAATGCTTATGCATCGGAAAATTCTTACCCTTTACCTTTTCTTTTTACCTCTTCAGCGATTTCCTTGGTTTCGAATAGGATACTTTTGCCTGTGGACAATCATATATGTGATTTTCCAGTGGATGGTTCATGCTTGCATTAATCTCTGGTATAAAGTCCTCTTCAACTCTGTTTTCATACATAATCTCCTTATACAATGCAGCCATCTTTCACATCATTGTCTGATATAATTCTTTTCACTGGAAAAACAGGTGGCCTTATCCATTTCTTGATTTGTCATCCTCTTATGCTCCACTATGGTACTAATTTTATTTCCTCCCCATTATATATTATATGAAGTTGGTTCAATTTCAAATAACAAAATGAAAAACTAATCACAAATAGAAATTCAGAACAAGTTTTTAACTTTTTAATACAAATCAACTTTGATGTTAAACTAGTTGATAACAATAAAAACAGTAAAAGAATTGTATATTCTGTTGTTACTCTAATCCTTGTTGTAGCACATTTAAGATATCTGATCCTTATTAATAACTTGTAATTGCTATGTAGGTACTTTGCAGTGGCATTACTGCATATTCCATGCTATGGAATTTTCACTTTGTTAATGAAGCTGAAACACTATGTTTTGTCAACTCGATACCCAGATTCATATCAATGTGCCAAATAATGAATTCAGCTTAGGACTGAACTGCACTACCTTCAATCTTCTTATTTAACATAGATAGAAAAAAAAAAGATAAAGAAGGAGAAAAGTGTTAGATAAAACTATTACTCTTTATTCTTTACTCTTTACTACTTAAGCAATAAGAGTTCACAAATAAAAGCAAAATATACCTTCTTTGTCAGACAAAAATAGTAATTAGAATTTAGCTCTTACTCTAACACTTGTCAAATAGAAAGTTGTGTAATTACTATGTTTTTTTTTTTCGTAAATTAATTGTCGTTTTTAATGTCCAAAGCAAACCTCTTCAGTTTTTTTTTTTTTTTTTCCTTTTCCTTTTCGTCAATGCTTGCAATGTGAAGTGCTTGTAAACTTCGGTAAAACCATTTAATCTATTAGAATGGATGATGTTCTGTTTCTGACATGGAAGTATAAATATGTTTTTGGTTTTAGTGCTTAAACAAATGTTTGATCGTTTTTAATTCTTAATCTTTTATCCGTTAATGTTTTTAAAATTAAACAAATTGACTTAGTTAAGCCAACTAGATAAAGGTTGGTCCATCCTAAATTAGAAAAGAAAAAAAAAAATCCTTTTACATATTTGAAATGGGTGAGTACGCGAGAGTGTGGGGGTGATACGAGCATCATGTGGATTAGTAGATTGCTGATATGTGTGTTATTATTTTAGGTGAGTTGATAGGTCAACCTACCTAAGACCAAGTTTATCAAAAAAAAAAAAACAAATTATTTAAGAACTTAAACTGTTAAAAACAAAATTATATTAAGAAACTGAAACTGAGTTGAAAAATTAAAATTGAATTTTTGAAACGAAAAGAAATTTAGATTTAGTTAAGCTTTAAGTCCTCAATATATGATTTATTTTTATTTCAATATCTAATAGAATTTTTATTCAACCATGTCTGTAATAAATTGTAAAATTAGTTTAAGTCCATAAAAATTATTTATTAGTATTATATTACGTTGATTCTTAAAATATATTTAGATTCGTTTTCCCTTCAACTTAATTTTTATTAAAATAATTGGTAAGTTTTTTATAATACATCTTGTCAATACTAATAATATAAGAAAATTAATATATATATATATATATATATATATATATATATATATATATATATATTAATTATAGGTAACCTTATTATGAGGCCAAATAATTTTTACAAGAAAAAGCATTGTCTTCCTTGAAACCTAAATGCTTTCTTCCTTTAATCTCATATATTCTCTTAATTTATTCTAAATGTCCTCCTTCTCAAAAGATTGATCATAATAAATCTAATGTTCAAGTTAGATAGTTATACTTGGTGGGGTATGATGATATGTTAAAGACGGTCATAATCATCTTGATTGAGATAAAAAAAAAACTGGTTATTTTAAGTTAGTTAATTAATCAACAATGTATTAATATACTCAATGTATATTGGCCTCCCAAACTCAAGGAGCTTCCTGTGACACAGAGTCTTTAATATTTGAAAAGAAAAAAATCTCATTTCTTTAGTCGAGACACTCGCATATTATTTGTGACACTCTCGACATTCTAGGAAGGAGTGTTGTACCACAAAATTGGATGATGACAAGAATAATGAAGATCTAGTGGACGTGGAACAAGCTAAGGATACGGTTGCTAGTACGAGATGGTTATGAGTAGGTAGATTCCCAAACATAAATATGCTCCAAAATTCTAGTGGGAGGATATTGTTTAGGTATGTTGTTGTTCCATCAATAAAGGCTATGAAGTTTCCTTTTCATGCATTCTTGTCTATTCACAAACATACATGTTTGGTTACCATTTGACAAATTAACGATGGGAGTTTTGTGAGTTTTAAATGTAACGTTGATAAAGCTCCATCCAAAATAGTTAGGCACTGAAAGCTTTTTAGATTATTTGTTGTATATAGAACATACTCCTCAAGTGTTTTTGCACAACTATAGCACCTGCTCAGGAAATTTGATAAGTTGGCTATCACTTATCAGTGGCTCTTTTATAATGACAATAAACTTAAATTTTATTGACTGATGTAGGAGATGATGATGGTTAGAGATTTGAAAATGTTGGATGTTTTGGATAAGATAGGTTAGAAGTTTTTTTTTTTCAAAACTCTTACACATTTACCTTTTCCTTTAGTGTCAACTATATTTAGAAGGTATTGTTAGATTTACACCACAGACAATTGATGTCACCTGTAATCATTTCTCCTTCAGCAATTGTCCTATGAGGAATCTCACTTGGATTGTGACTTGACCCACCTTATTTCCGTCAGAGAATAATTGTGCAACCCGTAACAATCTCCTTCTTAATAATTGTTCACCAGAAACCAATTGTTAGGTTTGAACGCTTACCACTATGTCAAAAACTATAGTTATTAGTTAGAGTATAACTCTTTTTACTTAAGAATAACAGTCAAAACGTCATGATTTAATTGTGATTCGGCCTACTCAACCCCTGTCACGGGACAATTGAGTTGTTTGCCAAATATCATGGCTTTTGAGATGGCCAAGAACAAGAGCTTTTTCAAATAATTCACATAGTGGATGCTAAAAAGGGAGAAAAGGGTGCTAGCAAGGATACCCTCAATATGGTGTCATCGAAAAAAAATCACAAATATCCCTCTAATTATTCCTTTAAAGGTATCGTAATCCGATGTATATTAAGCGATGGATTTACATAAGCCTTACTCGAGTGAGATTAGTCGCAATTGAGTGAAGCATCATCATGATAACTATTTACACTAAAAAAATTATAAATTAATTATAATGATAAATAGTTATAATTAAAAGTTATATATAAATTTATCACTATTAATTAATATCTTGTAACAATAATTTAATTGTCACTACTACATAAAATTGTAATAATATTTTTAAATTAACAAAAAATATTTAACACTAATTATTATATATAACAGTAATAATAAGAATAGTTTTAATATAAATCTTTATTGTTATTATTAATTTTTAAAATTATTATTCAACCATTAAATTATTAAATATAGATGATATGCAAGTTTTCTAAATTTGCTTCATTATTTAATAGTTATAATGAATAGATAAATTATTTTAAAAATATTAAAATAAATAAATATTTAAACATAAATTATCCATTAATTATAAATGATAAAAACTAAAAGACAATAAATATTTAACAATATTCTAGATTCAAAGATAATAAACAACTGAATATATTTTTACTTCAAGATATTACAATTAAATAATTATTTTTAGAATAAAAATAATAATAACAACTTGTAATATCTTCAACGAGTTCATCCTGCAAAATAAAATAAAAAGGAAATAATTAATATTAATAAAAAATAATTAAGAATATTTTAGATATATAAACATAATATTTTAGTGAAAAAATTAAAATAATAAAATAACTTACTTATTTAATGAAACATTTGAATCATACATTCTTATATTTTGTTTTACTTTAACTGGTTGAACTTTATGTTGAGATTACAATTTAAGTTGAAATTGAATATTAGTATTAGTTAATTTTTGCACTTATGATATCATTAGTTCTTCGTGACTTTGGACAAATTGACAAATTATTTTTCTATAATTTTTTTTATCATTGATGTAGTGCATATACCTTCTTATGAGTAGTTTGATTTTGTTCATAGTACAAATTGAAAGCGTTTAATCAATGAAATATGTGCTTTCGAAATTTCTTCTTTGTATGCCCCATCCACATTCTCTAAATTATCCTATAAAATATTAAGAGAAAATAATTTACATTATAAATATGTCATAATATACTAACACTATATAATAAATCTTTTAAAATTTTAAAATATTAATAAGAAAAATAATAATTTCTAAATTTTAACTTATTATTAAATCTTTTCAAATATAAATTAAATTATTTTTTACTTACCATGATTTCTTCTCCCTTTTGAAATAAATTATTTTGGATCAGATCTTATGCAGGTAACCTTTCATACTTTTACAACATTTGACCCATTCATCGTTCTTTAAAATTTTTTTTCTAAATAAGGTGACACAAGATTAAATTAAATAAAAAATAATATAAGTTGATTAAATAAATTAAAATAAAAAATACATATCTTATGAATTTGTAAAAATATTAAGCCTTTAGTATTTTAAATAATGTCCTATTTAAATAAATAAGTAACAATAAAAATAACCTTAATACGTGACACACGCAAAAATCATATAAATTAATCATATAAAATTTGTTCATATAAAACATAAAAATAATGTTACCATTTTAAATGTTTTTTTATAGTTGATTATGTTGGTAGTTGATTTGATTTCTTATTTATTTTTACTATCTTTATTTTTTAAGCTCCTTTTCTGTATAAATACATAAAATATTTTATACCTGATGCTAATTGCTCCCATATTTTTTGAAATTTTAATTGTCATTAAGCAATATTAGATGTATGAAAAGAGTCAAGTTACGTTTTTGTTCCAGTAATGACCTAAAGTAAAAAGACCCATCTATGCATAATTTTATTTATATTTTGTTAAGTAGTGGAAAAGAGTATTAGTGAATTTGTGTTATATAATAACAAAGTGTGAAGAGAAACACGTGATCAATTTATTCTTGATACTAAAAATAGAAAGAAAAAAGGAAAAGTATTAATTACTTGGGAATTTGTTTCTTCTTATAAAAGAGGTGAAGATAACTTAATATTCAAGCTTCAAAATGAATGAGGGCATTGTATGACTTTGAAAGTCACGCATAATGAATACAAGCTCTTTCTTTGAACGGTGATTAATTTGAATATCTAAAGAAATAATCACTCTTAGAAGCTTGACCACATTATAACTCTTCAATAATGTTAGTGATTTCATGCTTATTATGTGTATATGGCTTGGTTGAAAACAAGTGAAAATTTAGAAAGAGAAAACACTCACCAATGAACAGTAATCATGTAAATGTTCGTAGGGTTTTCCTTTAGTTAGGATCATTCATTTTTGTCATGTATTTTGTTTGTTACGGTGGAATGCATATATATACTACTATTAATGGAAAAAATGGGTTCCATTGTATTATTGGAAAAAATACCAAATTCTCAATTTATTAAACAAGTTAGCAAATTAGGATTCATCAAAAGCATTGAGTGAATATCTTTATTTTAAATATTATGTTTTAGAATATATATATATATATATTATCAATCCCTAAACCACATAGGTTGTTTATTGAACAATGAGATTAACTAATAATAAGAGTAATCAATATTAACACGACAATAGCAATATTTTTACTAAAAATGAACATATTTATACACAAGACACAGAACAGTTAACATATGAAAAAAAGTTACCTACACAGAAATTTATACTAGTTCACTCTCATAAGACAGCTACGTCTAAATGTTTAATCACAGGACAATTTACTAAATTACAAAATATATAGGAACTATACCTTGCAAACTAAAAATTAAGTTACAACTGTAATATTAAACATTATACCAAGCTTCATGTGAAACACTATTACTAAGCTCACTCTTGATCACTTCATCCAAAAACTATTCCAACAGATAGACCAATAACCAATCTTGCACACCACAAGACTTCATAACCACTATGTGAAATACTATTATGCAACTGACTAAGTAACATACAACCAAGAAATACAATCTTAATCATATTGGCCAATAACTAACAAAGCTACACCAACTTGCCAAAAAAACACAAAAATAAAAAAAGATTATAATATATATATATATATATATATATATATATATATAACAATAGGAGAGATATAATTTCATAAAATAACTGGGTTTGAGTGATATGAAAAATATAAATGACTAAATTCAATAGTTTTTTATAATAACTTATTGACTCTAAAAATATAATAATACGAAGAAGACAAAATTGTTTATAAGCACTAAAAGAACAAAAATAGGGAATTACATAAATTTACCTAATGTAGATCATCTTTCTCGATGAAACAAAATGTCAAACTTTAAAATACACAAGTAAAATAAGTTTTAAAAATTATTTCTCTCTTGTAAAGATTTAAACTAATTAATGACATAGAGTTTTAGTTTCATGGTAAATATATATAAAAAATATTAACTTCTAATCAATTATAATATCTAACATATTTAAGATTAAAATAATTAATTATAACTTATAATAATCCATTAACACTTTTTACGAACTTTTCTTTATAATTTCTGAATATTTGGGTTTCTCTCACATCAAATGCGATTAAAGAACTAATATATTATAACTAAAATTTATATTTTTAACAAGAAGATTTTCTATTTATATATTATTTAACAGTAAAATTTTGTTATATAAAAATGTAGCAAATAAATAAATAAAATCAATATTAAATGCATTTAAAATTAAACATGTTTTACCATACTAAAATTATTCAACCGCTAACATTTTTTAAATCACAATTAGTTGCCCATGATTTCCACTCTTATTCGGAACTTTTAATATAATTTAGCTACATAGATGGATTTTGTTCTACTATTAAATTACAAAAATATCAATAAAATAATGCAAACTAGCGATTGATTTGTGACATTTGGTTTCTGTTTGAGTTTGGAGATGAAAAATGACAAATTATAATTTATTTTATTTCGGTCACTAATTGTGACTAAATTGGTTCGGTCACTAATAGCAAGTTGCATCCATAGTCTCCATGCTTGATCGCTAATTAGCCTTTATTTATTTTTTTAAAATTCTTGTAACACCTTCATTTGGTACAGTTATATAGTATTAATAGATTTTCAATAAGTATATTCTTCAATGTTTTGTATAGTGTATGTAACTTTGTTTTTGTATAGTTACGTGAGACAATTCACCTTAGAAAAAACTCATATTCCTACACTCCACATCTTATAGACTACTTAATTTGCCAATGAAATGAATTAAACTAAACAAATCTATTTTCTTTTTTGAAATGGGGTAGAACAAACCTTTATATTCTTAGATTTAAATGATTTGCAATCTTCTAATATATGTCGAGGTAAAAAATTCATTATTCAGTTGACATGATGTTTTTTCAGTGATAAGGTAATCTTATTATAATTAAAGAGTTTCATTAGAGGAGGGAAAATGAGAACCCGTGGTTACAATGCTGTTGGAGTTTCTGTCACTCACTACTCTCCAGTTTCTTAAGGTGTTATTATTACTAAATTATGAAAATAAAAGGGGAAAATAACTAAATGGCCTTGAAACAAAATTATTCTTACTGAAAAGAAATTTCATCTTTCACGTCTATTCAGATTTACAAGCGTAAAACTACTAGCCAGGGAAAAAAGCACTCAAATCATATAAAGAAAAACAACAAGTAACTTATTTGCAACAGTTCCACTCAATGGAACCAAGCTTTATTAGCATCTTCTCTTGACGAAATCTAACAGGAAACCAAAGGTTTTTTTTTTTTTCAGATACAAAAAAAAAATTCATTTCCAAAGTAACTTTTTTGACATAAATGTAAACAATATATGACCCTTCTTTCTATTCTGACACCATTTTGCACAGTATTGAGATTATTTTTGTACATCTGTGTAATGCATGTACTGTATGCGGCATGAAATTACAAAAATTCAAACCTGAGTCACCATTCAGGCATCCACGCCCACGTCAACTTTAAATTTCTGCAAAGTAAAAGATGCAAAAGAGATTAGCCAATAAAACATTGCAACTGAGGAGTAGGTTCACTATTCATCTTAACTCACATTTGAGATATCCTTGAACAAGTTGAGAGTTTTCAGAGCCTTCCCTGATTGTTGTGTTTCACGCGCCACAGCCACCCCTTCTGCTAGGTTCCTTACACGACCACTAACCAATAGAGCCGCTGCTGCATTGAGAATCTAACCATTTTGTTTGCACAGAACAATTAAAATATGTCTTTGTTAAAAGCAAGAACACTCATAAGAACTGAGTCAAGTTTTAAACATATCTTTGAGACAAGCATTCATAACGACTGGACAAGTGTCAAAATATTTTATGCGGGATATAATATGAATTGCGGTATAATATAAATATACATCATGGAGAGCCATAGAGCACACTACTTTTCCAAAATCTAAACCCTCAACGTGGTACTAGGGTGGCTTCGATTCTTCTCTGAAGCCCTCACATTCAGTTAGTCATTGTGTATGTTGCCAGAAACCACCATAGCCATTGATGCCGAAGCCTTCTATACGGGTTGGTACCACTTGTCAAGCATGACCTAACCCAATTGGTCTCAAGTCCAAACACCGTCCATGCAGTCTCATACAAAGATCTTGCGTGCTGTCTGTCTGTCGTACACACGTGCAGCTCATGCACTGGCCTCCTGCACCATGTCTCTTCCATAGGTCTCACGAGAGCTTCCTTGGTCGGTTTCCTCTCCTATTGTACTTTGCTCGACTGGTTGGCTTGTACGTTACTTCCCCTATTTTGTATTCTTTCTATCTGGTTCCGTTAGCGGCCACTCCTGGTTCTTTTGCGTCTATTAGAGGCCTCGTTTTCTCTATTTCTAGGACACCCATCATCACCAAAAAGAAACTCAATGGTAAAATTTATTTATGATGGGCTGCCTTAATCAAGGATACCATGAAATCTAGAGAAAAGGGACAGCAGATGATCAGCACAGAGTAATGCTCAAGCTTGACTTTCAGCTATGTGTCATGCTGTGGCATTAAATTTGTTCTTTCTGGAAAAAGGCACAAAAATGTTTTTGCACCTGAGAAATTAACTTCTCTCAAACAAACCATCCATAATATGACTACTCATCTAGCTCCAACCCATACTGTGGTCGAAGAACTGAAAATGTTCTTAGATGTTGAATCATTGGAAGGAATCAAACAAAAACATGGCAAGCTAGATATGGTACTGATCCTATGGAGTTTGCATTTAGATTTTTGATCACATTTGTGATCAAATACTGACGGGTCTTTGGACAGCTTAATTTTAAGACTTTTTTGTGTTCCTACTCTTGTAAAAGGGGAAATTTAAACCAAGAGTTTGGGAAATCAAGGAGTAAGAGGAGGTAGAGGTGGTCGTCCACTGTTTCAAGAAGATGGGTATATACCTAAGAAAATTGCTACTCTTCCAATAGGTTTCCAGATAAGACAGCAAATTTGTCCTAGTATAAAATATTTAAAATTAAAAAGGCCCACAGGATGACTGTCAAGAATATCTTCAAAGGAAGATTGCAAATAAGCCTAGTCTTCAACCACTCAAAGTGTATCAGCACCAAGTGTTTCTCAATCAATTGCTCATCAAAGTCCACTTAGGTGCTTCTAATCACATAGCTAGTAATGTTTCTTTACTTTCTTCTATAACATTCCTTATTACTTCAGCAAATGGGTCCCAAATTGCTTCCAAAGGAGCTGGTCAAGTTGCTCTTTCCCCTTCACTGAATTTAAAATTTGTTCTATTTATCCTTGGCTGTCCTTTTAATCTAATCTCTCTTAAGTCAATTAACTAAGTCCTTAAACTGTTATGTAACAATTAACTCTAATTCTTTTGTCATTCAAGAATGAGGTACGGGTCAAATGATTCGCTTAGGACATGAATCACAAGGTCTCTAATTGTATCTTGTGCTCCTGTTTTGCCTCCTAAGTTTTCCATGATTGATTGGATCACTCTAGTATGTCAAGTTAAAAATTCTGGTTCCCAGTCTCCAAGAATTAGAAATGTTAGATTGTTAGTCATATCAACTTGATAAACATGTTTGGTCTTCTTTCCCAAAACATTTACATATTTAGAGTCCAAGTCGTGTTACATCTTTTGATTTGAGATATTTTGTTACTTTTATTTGTGATCTAAGCTTTTTCCCACTTTTGGGTCTTCCTTCAATGAGATCAAGTGCCAGTTTGAGGAGACAAATAAAATTTTTAGAAATGAAAATATTAGAATATTTCTCCTCTGAATTGTCATCCTTATCTTCACATAGCCTTCTACATCAATCCACATGTCCTCACAAAACTTAACAAAATGGAATAATAGAAAGGTAAAACAAACACTTGGTGGAAACTGCATGCAACATAATGTTTAACACCAATGTTCCTATACACCATTGGGGTGATGTGGTTTACACTGTATTCTTTTTAATAAATGGAATGTCCTCTTCTTTTATTGGAATCAAATCCCACGATACATTATTTTTCCAAATGAATAGTTGTTTCATATTCTCCCTCAGATCTTCGAGTGCAAATGTTTTGTCCATGATATTTCCCCGGCTAAGTTGTTTGCTAGAACTATTAAATGTACTTTCGAAACTTTTTCTTGATTTTGGAAATGATATAAATACTCTTTTCAAGTATGTTGATGTTACCATTTTTAGAAGAGACTCCTTTATTCTCTTTCTCCACATAAAATATTGTCTCCAAACAACAAGCATTACTTGTTACATCCTAACAATCTATGTTATATACTCCATAAGAAAACCAACCTCATTCTCCTTCAAATAGTCCATGAAGTTGTTCCCCCTCTCAATATACCTTAACAATAGATATAGTCATCCGATTCAAGTCCTTCACCATTAGACAATCCTACCACAGAGTCTAGTAATGATAATTTTGGCTGGCCCATTGCTCTTAGGAAAAGTATTCAGTCTACTCAAAACCCTCATCTTATTTAAAACTTTTTGAGTGATCATTGTTTATCTTCTTCCTATTTCTCCTTTGTTTCCTCTCTACCTTCTCTCATTATTCCTAGAAATGTTCATGGAGCACTAATGTGAAATCACAAGAGGTGATTTAGAATCTTTAAGGTTAGAACCTTGTAGGAAATTTAGAAATTTAGTGATAAGGTAGAAGGAAAGAATCACTCTTTCCAAGGAAGGCAACTCACAAAGGATGTGAAAGTCCTTTAATACAGCCAAGGGTTCTTGAATCACTCAAGAACTTAGGAGAATCACTCTCACTAAGATAAAAGAGATAAACTCTAATATTTCTAAAAATAAAACTCAACTTGTTATTTCTGATAAAAATGGTTCAGCTTATAAAGAAATTTTGCCATCAGAGTTACAAATATTCATTAAAGGAAAATAAATGCTAATAATGATTTATTAACCTAGGAATTGGAAACTACTTAATGATTGATTGTAACTGAAATTGTGGCATCCAAAAGTCATTCAGCTATGCACCCTTTTGGTCTCCCAAAGACTGATAACTAAATTTCCAATTGGGCCCTTATTACAACTTACAATAAAACCAAACTAAAGCTCATTAATTGATTAATCCAAAACACAATTTGGTCAACCAACAATACTTGTTGAAGAGCTTCCTTTGTTTCCCTTGCTCTAGTCCCTATCATAGGTCATGTTCGCATTAAGCACTTAATCATCCTAAATGGCAACAAATTATAAAAATGCATTGAGCATAGTGGTACATGAGAGTGGGTTCCTTATCTTTGCGGTAAGAAACTATATGGTTGTAGATGGGTTTATGCTATGAAAGTTAGGTTTAATGGTGAAATTAATCATCTCAAAGCTAGTTTGATGGCTAAGAGATACACTCAAATTTAAGGCCTTAGTTGTGGTGATACCTTTTCTCTTGTGGCCAAAATCACCATTGTTTGACTTTTTCTTGCAATGGTTGTCATTTGCCATTGGCCACTCTATCAACTCGATATTAAAAATGTACTTCTTCCTGGAGAACTAGAAGAAGAGATTTACATGAAAAAACCATCTAGGTTTGTTGCTTAGGGGGAGTTTGACACAATTTGCAAATTGCACAGATCTCTCATGATCTTAGACAATCTTTTCAAGCTTGGTTGGGATATTTAGTTATGTAGTATAGGATTTTTGTAAAACAAAGTGAAGTACATCATTTAGTATTCTCCTGTCATACTTTTCTTGACAATGTGTCTACCTAATTATTTATGTTGATGACGTAGTGATTACTACTTTTCTTGGTATTGTGTCTATCTAGTTATTTATGTTGATGACATAGTGATTATAGGGAATCATGCTATTTAAATTCCAATTGTAAAGGCACTTTAGTCACTTTCAAACACAAAGATCTTAGTTGCCTAAAATACTTTCTTGCTATTAAGGTGGTAGAACAAAGGAAGAATTGTGATCTTAGGCAGACATGTACTTCAACATTTTGGAGTAAACTGGCACGAGTTGGTGTAGGCCCATTGAGAGTCTTATGGATTAGTATCAAAAGTTAATGGTTGATCAAGGTGAACCATTTATGAATCCTAAGAGATATAGGAGATTGATGGGGAAACTCATTTACCTCATAATTACAAGACTTCATCTCTCTTTTACCATTTGATCAATGGAATGTTGTTATATGCATTCTAAGGTATATCAAAAAGGCTCCTAGAAAAGTGTTATTGTATGAGGATAAGGGAAATAGTTATGCTTTTGGGTATAGCGACACTAATTGGGAAGGGCGTCTTACAGACAAACACTCTACTACTAGTTATTATGTATCCATTGGTGGAAATCTTATTTCTTGGAGGAGCAAGAAACAAAACATTGTTGCCCGATTAAATTTAAAAGCAGAATATTGAGCTCTAGCTTTAGCCATGTGTGAACTAGTGTGGATCAAACATCTTCAAGAGTTGAAATTTTGTGAAGTCTCACATATGAAGTTATATTTTGATAATTAGAAAACCCTTTGTACTGCATTCAGTCTAGTCTTTCGTGAAAGAGTTAAATATGTTGAGAGTGATTGTCATTTTATTCAATAAAAGTTGTTATCCAAGGAAATTATTATTGAATTTATCAACTCTAGTAATCAACTTGCAAATATTTGACAAGACCTCTAGTTCAGTTTATATGTTCCAAGCTTAGTGCATACAGAGAGAGGGTGTTGAATATTGGGTACGATTTGTTTTATAGTTTTTATAAAGATGTTTTTGTTGTACCTAGTATGTCATCGATTGTAGCCTTTATCTCTGATTTCTTAGGTTGTGTTTTCAATTACTCAAACTTGAATATGTAAATATACATGAATGTAGAGTAATGGAGCACATTGATTTTCCAAAATCTAAACCACTCATAACCCATTATAAAGGTTTTGTGCTTTAGGCTAAACCCAATCTGTAAAACGGTATCTAAGCCTATCGTAAATTCATTAAAAGGGTCATTCACCATGTTATGCACGTACTAAGTCTAATAGGACTGCATGTGAGCAAGTGCATTAGGAATAACTTCAGTCCCACGTTGACTAGAGATAGTACCAAAATACAATACATAAGTGGGGACAACTCTCATCTTATAAACTGATTTTGTAGAATTAAGCCTTAACCACTTAGTAAGAGGGTTATAATCAGAATAATGTGCACAAAATTTGAAGCTTAACAAGGCCAAATTAAGAAGGGTACAAATTTATCTCAATAGACTCCTAGTTAACAGCATCACTTATATTTCATTACGAGACCACCACATTCCCATGACTAGGACAAAGCTATCATCCTCTCACCCTGTAAAAATACCTAAAGAGAAAAAAGAGAAGGAAATGTACTCACTAAAGCATCTGCAATAGGCCCTCTCTCTCCACCTAGAACACTCTTCAGAACCTCTGCATTGTACACTGGACCCCCACCTCTTAAGTCCTCAATAGTACAACGAGGAATGTCAAAGTCCACTGTTCCAATAAAAGATCCATCATAGCACTCAATTAGCAGTATGAGAGCAATATTAATTTAGTCCATAAGAGAAACAGATAAATCCATAAATTAACACATGCTTACAGGGATCAAATGAGAACTTATCAACCCTGTCAGCAGTAACATCAAGGACTAAACCAGGTCCTGCATGTAATGCAAATAAGAGGCCAATCAGATATAGTTCCAATTTAGAAAAAACTTATTAAAATGCACCTATGAAAATATAAAATAAGGTGATAAAATGAATCAACCTTCTCTTTTCATAAGTTGAAATTAAATTATTCACCATAACTCTTTAGAAGTTTTCTCCTCTAACTTTTCCTAAAGTTGAAGAACATAATTTCATTTTAACTCAATACAATTTTGATTCTTTTTTTTTTTACCTCTCAATTTCTGCTCCAGTACGCTCTTGTGGAGAAGTTTGTTCTTACTAGGCTTAAGATACTTAAAAAACTGATTTTCGGATATAGAAACTAGCTAGAATCTTACCAAGGGGACTCATCTCATCCAAACCTTCAGAATGGACAACTAAAGCTCTTTTCATGCCAAATCTATTGAGTGCTTTAGCCATTTTGGAGACCTATCCAGACGAACATGACAAATAGCTAATTAGGGACTAACATAGATGGAGAAAGCCAGAAACAATTAGTCCTCAACCATACAACCACTATCTTTTAAGAAAAAGATACAAAAGTAATAAACAAAAGCAAATGTTTTGGGAATAAGAGTGTAAAATACTAAATAATCCATAATGTTTATTTGACAAATACAATTCCCAATAAAATGCGTTAAATTCAATATGTGGTACAATATCTTCGGTTAAACAGAATAACTCTAGCCAATTTAAAAAGTTTTTAATTTCAGCAGAAACAATCTATAGGGATGAATTATTCAACCAATTGATTATGAAGATTTTCAGAGGGATACAAATAAAAAGATTGTGAAGGAAAAAACCAGGACCATAAGTTGCTTGACAGACCGATTTTAAGGAATAATAAAGAAAAAAAAAACTAAAATAAGTTGATAATACAGAAAAGTTTTCAACTTGTACGTAGGAATTCAATGTCAACTAATTGCTTCAAAATCGAACCTGATTTCAAAATTATAAATCTTTCGCAAATTTAGAGCAAATAGAACTTTCATATCCTTAACTCAATTTTTGTTTTCCAAAAACATACAAAAAAATATTACATGTAAATGATATAGAATGATAGGAAAGTCATTTCCTGTCCGATTATTTGAATACATAAAAGTCAAACCTGTAAGACAGGATGGGACTTACCAAGTCCTCCGTGTATACTCCAACAACTGCAAAAGGTGCCTGTGCTGGATTTAACATTGGACCCAATATATTGAATATAGTTTTGATCTTTAGCTTCTTTCTTACTGGCCGGACAATACTCATCGAAGGGTGATATTTTGGAGACATCATAAACCCAATCCCAGCTTCATTCACACACTTCTTTACTCCCTAATTCGAAAAACAAAACAAAAAATAAACAAGCAAACATGCCAATAAAATAAATCCTATCAATGGAAGACAAACACATACAAACATATAGTCAATGTTAGAAACAGTGTACATTTAGGTAAATATTGTACTTATTTTCTATTTTCTACAAGTTTGGTAAATCAGGTCATATCCTGTAATTAAAGGATCCTATAATAGAATAGGCTATCATTTTATTTTCTAAATTAGCTTACAATGCTGTGTATATATATACCTAATGTATCTTCACTGAGATATGACATTAGTTATTCTCCCTTAACTACAAGCTCCTACAATCTAGGCGGCTGAGTAAAGGGACTATCTCTATTCATCAAAAATTCAAAGTCAAGGAGAGTTACAGTACCACTGATTCATGCGGATTACATAATAGTGACGGGGGATGATAAAAAGGAGCATCACATCTTAACCCAATACCTAGTCAAGGAATTTTAGATCAAGGCCTTGGAAAAATTAATGTATTCTTTGGGGACCGAAGTGTCTCACTCCAGAAAAGGTATTTCCGTATCCTAACAAACGTAGTTTACTGATTTACTTGGAGAAACTGAAAGACAGCTTGCAAACCAACCAATACACCAATTGATATAAGTATAAAACTAGGGAATGTTGAAGAAGATGTTGCAATTGACAAAGAGATGTATCAAAGGGTCGTAGATAGACTCATTTATCTCATATCAGGCCGTATATTGCCTATTTTGTGAGTTTGGTCAATCAGTTCATGAACCAACAGAAGGAGACTAACTTGCAAACTGTACTTAGAATTGCACAGTATTTAAAAGGAAACCCAAAAAGAGGAATTCTATTCAAACAAAATGGTGAGCCTTGAGGCAGATACAGATGCTAACTATGCAAAGTCAGTTGTGGATAAAAGGTCAACTATAAGGTACTGTACCTTCCTTGGGGGAAACCGGATAACTTGGAAAGGTAAAAAACAAAATGTGGTAGCCAGTGCTGATGCAGAGTTGCAAGTAATGACACAAGGGATATGTGAACTTCTTTGGCTAAAGATTATCTTGAAAGATCAGAAGATAAAATGGGATGAACTAATGAGATTGTATTGTGATAATAAGTCTGCATCATGCATGGCCTGTAATCCAGTGGAGCATGATAGAACTAAATATGTTGAAGTAGACAGACACTTTATAAAAAAAAAAAATTAGCCAGTGGCCTGATTGGCACACTATATGTGCCCTCTCAAGGTCAGTCAGGACACATTCTTACCAAGGGACTAAATAACAACAACTTTGAAATGAATGTTTCCAAGCTAGGAATGGACGACACTTACTCACAAGCGGAGGGGAGTGTTAGAAACAGTCTATTTTTTCAGAAAATCTTGTACTTATGTTCTATTTGTTACAGGTTTGGTACATGAGGTTATATCCCATAATTACATGGATCCTACATTTGAATAGGCTATTAATTTATTTTCTAAATTAGCTTACAAAGTTGTGTATATATTTGATGTATCTTCAATATGAGGTATATGAAATGAGTTATTTTTCCCTAAATCACAAGAGATATACACAAAAAAAGGCATTTTAGCGAACAATATATATGTTAGAGTTTAACTAGCAAACTCACCACTTTTATTTTCAAAATTAACCTTACAGTATAAGATAATATCAATTTCATCACAAATTCAACACTAGCAGAAAGATTAGAATTGTTAAAAGTAATTTACAAAGATTTAAACTGCAGCAGTCTTCAGTTCCAGTTTTGTGACGATCTTTGATATTACAAAAAAAAAAAAGAAAAAAAAAAACTTAAATGCATTTCCTAATGTGTTTCTAGTGTTGTTTTCCAATAAGAATTAAAGTATAATGTTGCCAATATGCATAATAGAGCTTCATATTAAGGGAGCTTTGGTAGAAGGAAAAATTTCTATGTTAGAGAATCATGATTACTGAAATTCATATATCTTAAAATAATGATTTCTCATTACGATTAACATATATTTGATCATATTTCTAGTGTTTGGACATTTAGTTTAAACTGAATATCCAAAAATGGGAAAGCGAAGTAATGCAGTATTTTTTTTTTTTACTGCAGTAAAACCTTTTTTTTTTTCCAACACGAGAAAGTTACATTCTTGCATCTAGAATGAAAACAATTTGGTGGGAAAGAATAGATAAAAAAATAAAATCATGACAACAATGTTTGATTGAAAATTGAAATATTATTCTTTAAAACATAATACAAACATAATCATTCCCAACCTCAGACCCCTAAACAACTAAAAAACTCTCTTGTAACAGATGCCCATTTGAGATCAACATAGATTATCAAAGTACTACTCCAAATGAACAACCTAAATTAATTGTGGACAAATGAATCCTAATTTGTCCACCCACCTAGACTCAAATTGGCAATTGATATCTTGTACTAACCTCAGGACCTAAGTCAATCACCACTCCCAGAGCTTCTAACACGTCCGCACTTCCACACGCAGAAGAACTGGAACGGTTCCCTTGCTGCAACACATCACCGTTTCAAATATCAATCACATCATTCCAATTCTCTCACACTTCAAGTTAACAGCAGCACACACCTTCGCAACTCTGGCCCCGCAAGCGGCCGCGAGAATGGAAGCCCCCGTTGAAATGTTAACGGTGTTGGCACCGTCCCCCCCAGTTCCCACGATGTCCACAACATCGTTCAAACCCTCAACCTTCGTCGCGTGTCTCAACATTGCCCTTGCCAACCCCACAACCTACGAATCCACAAAAACAGATTAACAAGATAAAAAAGTCAAACTTTGAGATCACAAACACACTCACTTCTTCATAAGTCTCTCCTTTGGCTCTGAGAAGTACGAGAAACGCGCTGATTAAGGCCTCATTGGGCTCATGAAGCAGCGACTCCAGACACGCTTCGGCTTCATCTTCCGATAAATTGACCCCGGAAATCAGCGTTTCAATCAGCTGGAATCACGTTTCGGATTTAAAATAATAAAATGAAAACAGAATGTGAATTATGAACTTCAATAAATTGTGCTGTGACCTGGGAGAGAGGCTGAGTGGACGTAGCTGCATTGGACGAAACGGTGCCATCTGAAGAGGCGATGGAGGTAGTTTGAGTCAGGGGTGAAACTGGATGAGAAAAGAAACGGCGTCGTTGAGGATCGAGGTTGGGATTGGGCACAGGAAATTGAAGGGAGAAGGGGGAGAAGAGAGCTTGTGCTTGTGTCATGATGATGAACGATGATTGGGTTTGAGTTAAAGAGAGTACATGTTAAGGATGAGTAAGAGATCGAGAATGGTTTGAATTCATGTTATTTATGTCTATTTATTATATGATTTTAAGTTCAATTTATTAGTCCACCCCCAATTCAGCTATTCCCTTGTTATACTTTTGGAATAGAAAAATTAATGAATTAATAGTATTAATATAAATGGTATTTTGAATTTATTATTTTATTTTCCTTAATCTTATATATTTCAATCCATGAAATTGCAAAATGATTTGCAAGTATATGAAAAATTTATCAAAAATCAACTTGTGAAATATTGTATTTTTACAACTTGCATCAAAGCAATGTCTTTTAAATAATGAGAATTTTTACTTGCATGTTATATAATTTACAGCCCCTACCCTCAAATTATACCAATGCAAATGCCCTTTTTAGTAACAAGTTTCTTAACATGTATATCTTCTACAACAGATAAAGTTGTGCAATAAAGTGAAGAGTTTTTTTTTTGTAAGCAATAAATTAAGTAGAATACTTAAAAAATAAATGTAGAAATGTGAGTCATGATTTTATTTAAGAGAGCCATTCTTGGAAAATAATTATATATATATATATATATATATATATATATATATATATATATATATATGATTTCAAACATATTTTGAATCAAACAGTTTAATAAAAAAATATATATAATAATTAAGAGAGAATTAGATTATATTATTAAAAAACATTAATGAATTATAATATTTTTATTTTGATTGTAAAATAATTATAAAAGGGATTTCAAAAAATTTTATGTCTAAAATCTAATTAAAAATATTAATACGATAAATATAATGAAAGCAGTAAAAAAATATAATAAACTTGAAAAAGTATATAAAAATAGGAGGGAATTATTTAATTATTATCATTATTATTTTTTATATCTAAATATAACCTTGAGATAAATTCATAATAATTTATACTCAATTAGCTAAACCACAAATTTAGAAATTGATTAGTAAAATTCAACCTAAAAATCTCAATTATATTAAAATTAAAATTGCAATGTAAAATGGTAAATAAAAGTAAATTATAAAAGGTAAAGAAAATAAGACAAACATGATACTTAAATTTAATCAACTTGAAGTAGAATTTGTAAAAAACAAAAAATATATGAAATAAAAAACTTCAGTAGTCTTCACTAAGAATGAGATAAAAAAAAAAAACTAAAGATAATCTAAAAACTAAAAATTTAAGAAAATAAATTATGTCTTTTTATTTAAAAAAAAATACAAGACTAGTACAATATCCATAAATAACAAATTAGAAAAAAAAATAAAAACTTGATTTGTCTTTGGTCTCCAACGTCTTATTGAATACTAAACGAAATATATAATTAAGTTAATTGAATAAAAAATTTAAAAATTAAACTTTTATAATAATTTATTGATAAAATGTATAAATATTTTAATAATAACACACAAGAGTTACTCTTGTAACTCCACACTTCATTTTATATTATCTTTAATGTAAACAAAAATAAAACTAAGATAAAATTAAGAAATACAAGTAATATCTCTATAATATTCAATTATTAATTAAGAATGTAAAATTTATAAAAATGTTTTAACTATAATCATTAACTTTAAATTTACATGTAATTTCCGTTCTTTTCAACCATTTCACGTGAAAATATTATAATAATAACCCCTAAGAACTAATCCATTTATATCTTAACCTACAAAAAATTAACTTTAATATAGAATCATATAATAAAAGTCTTTTTGTTAAATTGTTTTTTAAAATACTTTTATCATAAAATTATTTTGTTCTTTCTTTACAAAGTAAATTTTCAAAAAAATTTAATCTTAATTTATCTAATTTTTTAATTGCAAGGATATATATTTACTTGGTTCAACAAAGATAAAATAACATATTTTAACAATCTAATAAACTTTATGCTTTAATTTAATTGGAAGATAATAAACCTTAAAAAAATCCTAAGAAAAACATTTCTAAAAATATTTTATAAACCTAAAAAATATCATATAATTTAACACTTTAATCTTTCTCATTAAATTAAATAATGTTATCTGAAATCTATTTTATATCTTTATTAGATACTTATTATTTGTGGATATACAGTGTATATTTTATGGATAACTCTGTATTTGTTTTTTCATTAAAAAAGCAAAACAGGATTGTAAGAACTCAAATATAATTGGTTAGTAATTAAGAAAAGTAATGATATATATATATATATATATATATATATATATATATATATATATATATATATATATATATATATACTTTGTTATGTATTTAGTTACTTGTCATATTTTTCTTTAATTATTTTTTTTAAGTTGTAACTGATCAATTTGAATTAAAATAATTATTTCAGTTATATATGGAAGAAAAAGTTTCGAAAAATATTAAATAAATGTTTTCGATTTATAAAATATTATAATTGGATTATATTGCAATTATATAAATTATACTCGGGATACACAATAATTTAGCATCACGCACCTAAACTATTATTAATCCAAGGCATCATCTAAAACCCGAAATCAATAAGATTTAATGCAATTTTTTCAGATCCACCAAACTCACTCTTTACTCATCAAAAATCACATTTCCTTTCTTTATTTTCTCTCCACAATGTACAAGACGAGCAACTCCTCCCTTCACCATGATTGACAACAAAAAATAAAATAAAAATCATCAAAGATAAAAACTCTCCATCCATTATTTCATGCAAGTCTTGATATCTCTTTAACTTAGTGCAAGTTTTCCCATTTCTCTTATATTCTCATTTATAGTAAGGGAGTTTTCCTCCTTCTGGAATCATATTATGGTTGCCTTTCAGAGATTCAACCATATTCATGCATGAAGGTTTCCATTAATACTGTTGTTTCCTTTGTATGAAAATTTGGATGGTAGAAAACCCTCATTTTAAATATTTTTTTGTTTGGTTGTGTTATATTGCACGTGCATTTTTCTACTTTCAATTCTTTGGGAAACTATAAATTCAAAGGAGACCATGCCAAAGTTTTGTGAAAAGCTTTACTAAGAGTTATGCATGTGGAAATCTATGATATCTTGAGGAGAGCACTTGACACATTCTCAGAATTTCAGATTCAGTGTTTATGTTCAATTATATATCAAGATTTAACAATTGGAATTTTATGAAATTAATCTTCCTTGAAAGAGACAAAATGCAACCACTCTTGTATTGAACAATTTTTTAAATGAGCACAAAATGAGGGCCATAGGTGACTTAATTTTGATGAGTTGACTGAATATGGTACATGTCTTAATTTCATTTATTTTTCAATTTTTTTTATTAAATTAGAACAATACATCTTTCTAGGAAAAATTCCAAAATTCTTTAAAGTCTTTTTATATTTTTATAAAATTTTAATCGTTTCAAATTTAGGGTTAAGAGTTTCTTTCTTGCACCCTGGAATTTGAAGAACATTTTACTAAAAACAATGGAAAAAGATTTTTGAGACAAATATACGATTTAGAAAGATACACGAGTCCTCTTTAACATGGAAAAGGTTTCAAAAAAAAAAAAAAAAGAGAAGAAGAAAAAAAGTGTAAATATTTAAACTATGTCCAAATTAAAGTCTCTTTTGATTTTCCGACTGGTATGAATTTTATAAATTTTATTAGATTTTTGCAAAAACACATGTTGTACCTTTCTGAAATGCTAACTTTTCGATGTGTCCCTGTATCAAATTTTATGGCTTTAAAAATATTTAAAGAGGAACATCTACACTAAGAGGAACATCAATTTTTTTTTTTAAATGCTAGAAATTTTCTAGCAATATCACACTACTAATTCCAATTTAGTGACAATGATAAAATGCAAATAAACTAATGGGATTAAGAGAACCAACGAAAGAAACCAAAACAATTAAAAGAGATGGTATAAAGAACAAAAAAAATGAAGTTATAAAAAATTGTAAACTTCCTCTTGTCTCTATTTAATTTCTATTAATAAATAATAATAGAAGAATAAGATTTTTGAACATGAATTACAATTAAAGGTTAAAAAGATTAGTTGATGAGAAATATCATGAAAAAGAAGGCTTGCAGGAGGCAGTGGGAGTTATTAAACTGCCAAGCTGACAGTATGCATTACGCTTGGCTGTTCATATAAAAAAGATTACCTATCACATCTATTAACCTTGACACAAGGCAGAGGAAGATCTCTCTATATGAACAATAATATTACTAAATTAGTCAAAGGAACCCATCTCATTCAAAAACAATCTTTACCTATGAATCTCTGCCTACGAAAAGAATAAATAAATTCGAATCTATGCCTAACGGTGTATTCCTTTAATGAAACAAAAACAAGTACTTAAGCTTAGATAAATAAGACTTAACACTATACATTAATCATTTTTTTTACAAAGAATGTCAAACCCAAAAAATTTGATTACATGGACAAATGTGTTTATTGAAGAAACATCCCTAAGATGTAATAAAATGTATGGTATAGCTAATCAACGTAAGATATAGACAGACAGCACTTTCATGATCATAAAGAAGTGCTTGGTAAGGAACCCATCAAAATAATATTTTCATCTTTATACTCCCTAGTCTTCTCTGGTTTTTCTTTAGTAAATAATCCAGAGAGGAACCTTGGTGACAACCCAGAACTCAGTCCCCTGCCTAATAAGTCCAAAGCTCCTCTTGTTTCACCACCACCACCCTTTTGGCTTGCACTGTTAGTTAAGTTCCTTGTACCATTCAATCTGAGTTGAGCTCCACACGGACAATTTGCAAGTTTTCTAAAGCAACGCTTATGGAAAACCAACTGACAAGCTTTGCACCTTTCAATCTCGTCTTCCTGAACATAATTTAGCTTATATTGAGGCCTCAACTTTTCACTATATTAAAATATTTCAAAACTACGAAAACAAAATGGATGAGTTGGGATTATAGAATAGCATAAATGGGATGGGATTTATTCCTGGTCTTGCAGCAAACATTCCGG